TGCCAACGTGTGGCAGCCATGTGTCTGCATGTGTCTGCCCCACAAACCAATCTGCACCCCTAGAACACTGTGAGGTTCTGTTGCTAATCATGAATTTGTCCTGTAACTTCATCTAGCTTGTATTCTATCTCATTCAAAGAACTGGGCTTGATTCTGTGCTCACCTCTCTTTATGAAGGCTAACTCCAGTCAGCATTGTTTTTACAGCTCATTTATTATAACTTGCATTGAGGTTTTAATCTCAATTTAGTGCTTTGTAATTGGGAGGAAAATAAGAATCATAAAAACAGATTATCTTTAGGGATACCTTGGAGGGAGCACATACTAACTTTGTATTGGGGAGATGGGACTATGTGATGACCAAGAACCAAGGGCTTTGGAGTCTGACTGATTTAATCTAGGTCTTGACACTTCCCTGAAGAGGAACTTCTGGCCTTAAGATAAACAAAATGAGGATAAGGTGGAAATTCAGGTAGGCCAATAAGCAGCACACTAGGTAATAATACTGTTAGAGTAAATGGAGAAAAATCTAAGAAAAGCATTTGACATAGAGCCTGAAACTGTGTGTTATTGTTGGGTTTTTTTATTTGTTTGTTTGGTTGGTTGGTTGGTTGATTTTGTTTTGTTTTGTTTTGTTTTGTTTTTGAAACAGGATCTTACTATGTAGCCCTGGAACACTATATAGACCAGCCTGGTACTCACAAAGGTGTGCCTGACTCTGACCCTACCTCTGTCTCTTAAGGCCTAGGATTAAAGGGATGCACTACTGCCTAGCTAGAGTTGAATTTAGGTGCTCAATGTATTTTTTTATTTGCGTGTAGTTTACAGTCACATCATCACAGATTAATACCTGGTAATGCTTGTTTTCCATAAATTCATATATATGTATATCTATACACACACACACACACACACACATATATACGGGGGTGCTTAAAGAGGCTATGCTAATTCTCATTAAAGGAAATTGGCAAAATGAATGGATAATTCACATGAGATTCTGTATGTGTGTTTGTGTGTTACATGCATGTAAGTGTACATGTGCATTTGCCCATACATGGGCATGTAGAAGCTACAGCAGGAGGTTAGGTGTCTTCCTCTAGCATACTTAGCCTTATTGTCAGTAAACCAGAGCTCAGTGTTTCCTGCTTGTTTGTTTGGTTGGTTGGTTGGTTGGCTGTGGTTTTTGGGTAGGCTGCTTTACTAGCCAGTGAGTTCTTGGGATCTACCTGTCTCCACCCCCAGTGCTAATGTTACAGAAATGTACACCCATGCAAGATTTTTTTTTTGTGGGTACTGGGGATTTGAACTCAGGGCCTCATGTTTGCATAACAGGTGCTGTTACCCACTGTGCCATCTCCCAGCTGCCCCCTGCCTGCCCAGTTAATGTTCTTTATCTTGGCAACAGCTTTGCAAAAGAAAGGGCTATCTAATAATCATTATATTACCCTGTTCCAAACTTTCATCCACTACTAATGAATATGAAATAAGTGTCAGAGTTGCCACCAGTGTCTTGGCTGTTGTATGAGTGTTTTTCTTCTTGTTCTCCTGTATGTTTCAGGTGCTACACAGGTCTGCCGTGTTTAGGCCTGCGTAGTTTCTGTGCTTATTTCCAGACTGTGCTTTGAGTTAGCTGCTCCTTCTTTCCTATAATAAATAGAACTGTTTGCACATATTTTTGTCACATTACCCTCCTGAATTCCCTACTCCACCCTCGTTAATTCTTAGGGGAATACATCTTGAGTTAGCCACGGTGTAGTATTAAATTCTAGTTAATGGTGATTCGTCTCAAATTCACCTCGTAAGTAGCTTCATATTGGAAAAACAAATCCCAGAGATTTGACCAAATGTGTGGGTCTTATTAGCTTTAAATGTAAGTCTTTGGGATGCTTTTTCTTAGATACAAAATCTATCTATGCATAATGAGTTACAAAGAGAGTTTTTAAAACAGAGGAAGACAGTAAGTTGTAAGAAATCCCTTGGGAAATTGGGAAGTTCTCTATTTCCTCCTGAGTCTAATTTTCAGAATGTTGTTTTGTTTGCTTGCTCAGTACACAGGTGTGCCTTAGCTGTTGAACGTGAACACAGAGCTAGCTTCCAGATCAGTATGCACTTTTGGACCAAGCTTCATTTGTTAATGCAGATGAGATGATGGTTTAGACTTACAAGCACATGTCTCTTATATATAGGACCCACTGCCATTTCTCAGACCTTTGCTGCAAATGAAATACCCTTTTTCTGCTACCAGAGCAGACCCAGGAAGCATGTGCCTGGATGAGTGAAGGCCGTGGGACCAGGCTATGCAGATAAAACGAAGGAAAGCTTCACTTCCGGACAGCCGTGAAGTGAAGGAGACTGACTATTGGCAGCCACATCATTCGTAGGTTGAATCTCTTTGAATTTATGAATGAAAGGGGTCCATTATTTTTATTTGTGGTTTAGCATAATTTTGGAATCTATGGTAAATTTCCTTGAGTCAAAGCTAACAAAAATTCTCCATTAAACCACAGGTTTTTAAAATTTGCTTGTTTGGTTTTATTATTGTTTGTTTGTGGCAGTGTCCCAGGCTGACCTTGAATTCACGACAGTCCTCTGCCTCAGCCTCCCCAGTCCTGGGACTGCAGGCATGAGCCACCATGCCTGGTGCAGTTTTGTACCTATCCTAGTAAGTACTTGAGTATGTGTGCCTGCTTGTTTGCGTACACATGCAGTTTTCTTCTTCTTCTCTTTCCTTCTAGAGAATGGCATAAGATTCGTTCTGCCTTGTACCTTACTTTTCTCCAGCTGAACCTTGGGAATCGTTACATTCCCATTAGGAAGCTTTTGCAGACTTTAAAAGCACTTTAAAACTGTTATGAATCTGTCGACTAGGGTAAAAGTAATTCTTAATCCATGGATTAAGACTAAGGATTAACCTTGTTACATAATTGGAGTTAAGAAATGGTTGTTCAATAAAAGATAGAGTGAGCGAGTTATTTGAGTTTTTGTCTGAACTTGTGAACATTCTTCCTTGTCACAAGTGCTAAGCTTAAAAATGTGTGCTACCATGATTTATTTGAGGCAAGAGTTTTTTGATATAGCCCAGGCTGGCTTCAAATTCTCTCTCTCTCTCTCTGTGTGTGTGTGTGTGTGTGTGTGTGTGTGTGTGTGTGTGTGTGTGTGTGAGGCTAGCTCTAACTTGAGATTCTCCTGCCTCAGCCTCCCAAGTGTTGGAATTACAGACCTGTGTTACTATACATGGTTAAACACTTTGTCAAATCGAGGTAGAGATGGGAAGAAGCAGAAGACTAAGAAATGCCTGAAGTTCTGAGACCATTGACATCACTTTTGCCCCTTAACCCAGGGATGACATCACCAAGAGTCTGTCTGTTCAAGAAAGCATCAGGAATTCTCTTAGAGACTTCCATTAGGAGACAGCAACAGAAAGAGATGCCTCTGGATTTGGTGGGAGATGAAGTTACAGGGTGGCCTCTACAGCAGTTCAGTTCCTTCCTTCAAATGAAGAACCAGGAAGGCAGTGAGAGTAAACTGTCTCATTGACCCTTCTTGCTCTAAAGTTATGTCATTTATAATGCCCGCATTCTTTCCTTATTGCCTGTATGCTCCTTTGTCGAGACAGACTGGGATGGAGTTCTTTCTCCAAGAAAATAAAAAGGCACACAAATACTTGATTAAAAATATGATTGTTAGGCCAGGTATGGTAGTACATGCCTTTAGTCTCAATACTTCACAGGTGAATCTCTGTGAATTTGAGACCAGCCTGGTCTACATAACAAGTTCCAGCCTAGCCAAAGCTTCACAGGGAGATCCTGTCTCAAATATGTATACATACATACATACACACACACATACATATACATACATATATATAATATAAATATACATATATAAAATAGATAATAGGTAGACAGAGATGATAGATAGATAGATAGATAAATAGATAGATAGATAGATAGATAGATAGATAGACAGACAGACAGACAGATAGATATAAAATTCAAAGCTTGGCTTCAGAAAATAATTCTTAAAGTGTCCATTCCTCACAAAATGGAATGGCCAACTATTGACAGAAAAATAGATTTTAAAAGTAGCATTAAATATATTACATATTGATCTTTTGAAGAAAATTAAATGCACTTCTGTATTTTAGCCTTATATCCAATAAGTAAAATTATTATAATAATATTAAAGTGTTAATAAATAAAAAAAGTAAAAAAAATACCTAATCTATCAAAGTTCATACTTCTTGGGAAGTCTCTTAATGTATTAGCCTCTCTTTTTAGCTTCTGTGGTTCCGCTTCTGGCTAATTGTTCTTGTTAACTGAAGTATGCGAACCCAGAACATAGTTTTTATGTTTAAAAGCTCATCCTGAAAAAGGCTTTGTGCTACAGTGGAATCCCAAACATTTAGTGTAGTTGCCTACCAGCTAATAAAGACTTTCTTTTGGCTTAAAAAAATAATAATATTAAAGTGATTGAATTGGAAATCCAGTTATTGGTAAATGTGTGTGTCTTAGTGTTCTGTTGTTGTGAAGAGACACCATGACCATGGCAACTCTTATCAAAGAAAACATTTCATTGGGGCTGGCTTACAGTCCAGAGGTTTAGTCCATCATCATCATGGCGGGAAATATGGTGGCATGCTAGCAGACATGGTACTGGAAAGGAAGCCGAGAGTTTTATCTCTGGATCAGCAAGCAGCAGGAAGAGAGAGCCAGCCACTGGACCTGGCTTGAGCTTCTGAAACTTCAGAGCCCACTGCTAGTGACACACTTCAGTAAGGCCACACCTGCCCCAACTCTCCTGGAACTCACTCTGTAGACCAGGCTGGCCTTGAATGGAAAGACCTGCCTGCCTCGCCTTCCCAAGTGCTGGGATTAGAGGTGTATTCCACCACACTTGACTTAAATATTTAATTATTAAAGGTATTTAGTTACCAAAATAGCAGTCAGTAGTAAATGTCGTTCATAGTAAAATGGATTTTTTCCCTCTCTGTTTCAGTTAAGTTTGAACGTGATGCTAACAGATACTGGGACACATTTTACCAGACTCATAAGAATAAATTTTTCAAGAATCGCAACTGGCTGTTGAGGGAATTTCCTGAAATTCTTCCAGTTGATAAAAACTCTAAAGAGGAAGTGGAAGGATCATCCAGGGATCAAGTCCGAAGTAACTTCTCAAGTATGCAGAGAACGGAAACCCATTGTCAAAAGAGCTGTGTCTCATCAGCCCCTTGGAGCGAAGAAAGATCTAACTTTCCCAACCAAGACTTGGAAGAACACAGCGAAGGGCCTGGGAAGACAGAGCACTTCCCTGGTAGCAAGGCCACTTTCCGAATACTGGAGGTGCTGTGTCCAAGGGACAAGACGGGGTGATGGAGTGTGAAAGTGTATGTCCCATACTCTTTTATGAATGGTCCAGACTGCCCAGGTGGAAGACAGACCTAACCAAATGCTCAGTGTGCTTACACATAAGCAGTACTTGGGACTCACATGTTTAATCACTCAAGTTTTAAGTTTGCAGCTTTTATTTCATTTGTGTTACTTATCCCCCCCCCTTTTAATTTGCTGTATTTTCTAACTTGGAGGCAGGTTTTAAGTCCCAATAAACTTTTGGTCTTAATATTCTCTCTCTCTCTCTCTCTCTCTCTCTCTCTCTGTCTCTCTCTTTCTCCTTCTGGATGTTTAGTTTGCTGTAATCTATTGTAGATAGTAGTTTTCCATTTTTGAGCCTAAACCCCATCTTTATGATTCTACGGGTAATAGTTGCTGATTAGAGAGGATTTATAAGAGCACATAAGAGAGATACCATAATTTTGCTCTCCTGTTGTCATACACCTGGCATGAATTATTTTCTCAGCAAATGTCTTTGCCTCCATTTTCTTTTCCCATCTTGGGTTAGATTCACGAGTTTACAATATTTGGAAACTTTTAGAGCTCTTGAAACAGACTCCCACACTGCTTCCTAAGAACAGCCAGACGTGAGGACATGTGCCCACAGGCCCAGCACTCAGGCGACAGAAACGAGAGTGTCATACGTGTTCCCATACGTGTTCAAGACCAGCCTTCTCTCTCTTGCTCACTTGTATGAGGGTTTGAACTTAAACTATAGACAAGAGTTCCACAACCCAGCCCATTTTGAGGCAGGGTCTCCCTAAGTTTCCCAGGCTGGCTTGGGACTCACCCTATAGCCCAGACTTCTTCTTCTTCTTTTTTTTTTAAGATTTATTTATTATGTATACAACATTCTGCCTCCATGTATGCCCGCACGCCAGAGGAGGGTGCCAGATCTCATTACAGATGGTTGTGAACCACCATGTAGTTGCTGGGAATTGAACTCAGGACCTCTGGAAGAGCAACCAGTGCTCTTAACCGCTGAGCCATCTCTCCAGCCCTAGCCCAGACTTCTTGTCACAGCCTCCTGGGCTTCCAAAAGCTCCAGAGCCCTCTGACCCTGCATTGGTTTATCCCTTTTCCACCACTCAGTAGGCCTTGTGGCTCTTCAGACATTGAGAAGTCACATGCTAGCTGTACTCTGTCCATTCCTTCCCTTTGCTTGTCTATTGCATGGGTCCTGCCCTTTACCATAGCTACTGCAGATGCAAATGCTTTAGTGCATTGTGCACGTATTCATTCAGTTGGGAGGCTTTGGTGGGTTCAAAATTGTAATGATCTCCACAGCCAAACACTAATTGTTCCTCTTGTGATTTGCTTCTTCTGGCATTTGGGCTTCACAAGTTCTGCCATACCCAGAAATTCAGTAATCATTTATTTTTTTTTAATAGAAAACCCAATATTGTGAGAGAAACGTAATGCATTCACATTTGTTTATTTTCAATTTTAGGTTGGCTGTGGTGCTGGAAATTGTGTTTTTCCAATCTTGAACACCTTGCGGTGAGTTTTAAGTGTTTCCCCTACAAAATCTTACATATTTGTGGGATGTTGAAAAATTCTGGAAATACTTTATGGTGCCTATGCCAAGAATCCCGAATTCCCATATAAACCATGACTAAAGCAAGTTTCAAAAGACACGTTCTTAGTGACTAATGTCACATGAACTGGGGAACATTCTGAAAAAGCATTCCATAGCCACGGGTTTGAAGTAGTTTTTAAACTTGTGTTTACGTAGAAGCCAGAATGAGAAAAGAGCAAGAGATTCCATCCTTCCACCAAGCTGTGCTTTGCTTAGCGTCAGATGTGGTGTGCTCTTCCTGGATACCAGATGGCACCTTACACAGAGCTGAGATTGGAGCACACACCTCACTCCTCATACTGTGGTATCAGTGTTGCTGGAGCAACACCCCACACACACACACTCACACCCTTCGCACATCAGATCACTGTGCCTGGACTCAAAGTCATCTGAAGTGGTAGTGCTGACCACAAGCAGGAAAGCAGAGACAGATGGGGACAAAACAATGTCCTCCTACCTGCCCTTTGAGGCCACCGTCAGTCTCACCTGAGTGTTCCTGTGATGAGGCCACCCTTGCAAACTCTCTCTACCTTTTGCCTCCTCTGGTCTCTCCAGCTCTCTCTCTCTAAGTTTGCGCGATACCTTTCACGTTATTTCCCCCACTAAAATCAACATGAGTGCATTTCCAAAAACTTGCAACAGGAGGCGGGGAGGGTCCCTGTCACTCTCACATAGCTACTGTGTAGTCTGCATACATATTCTTTAACCTGACATACGATCTTTTTATCTTTCAATTACAACTATGTAAAAGCATTTTGGAAAGCAAAGAGCAGTACAGTGAATTTCTGTGACCCCGCCACCTTGATTCAACAACTGTTAGCATAATGCCAAACATCATGCCACTTCTGGATTCAGGATGCATCTTCAGAACATCTGGCTATTCTTGAACGCTTTTGTAGACCTAATGGAACAGACAGAGCTTCCCTATTATGTATTGGCAGCTGCTGTGGCTGGGCATGGGAGGTGCTGGCAAATGAGCATGGCCTTACTCCTTGTCCTTATTTTCTTGTCTTCCCTTCCCCAGCTTCTGTTCTTCTGTTTCACATGACCTGGTCTCTTCACCCTAGTGACCCCATACTGGCGAGTGGTTGTGTTCCTCTGTGGCTGTTCCCAAGTTATTACGAAGCATGTTGTTTTTAAATTTCTTGTTTCTATTTTGTCTATTCCAGGTAACCTGACAGAATGATATAGCAAGAGCTCGATAGATATTGATTATTAGTTCTGTATTAGTTGTGCTTTCACTTCTCTCTTCTCTTTCTTTCTTTTCTTTTCTTTTTCCTGTTTTTTGAAGCAGGGTCTCTCGGCATAGCCCTGGCTGTTCTCGCTCTACAAACCAGGCCTGCCTCTGCCTCCTAAGTAAGTGCTGGAACTAAAGGCGTGTGCCACTACACCTGGCCTCAGCTCTCTTTTTGGTTAACTTCTAATGGAAGGCTCTAAGTTCCTACCTCTTCTGCACCCCTTCCCTTCCTCCTCTCCACCTCCTCATTTTCCTTTTTTTCCTCCTCATTCAACAAGGAAGGTCTCGCTATATTCCTCAGACCAGCCTCAAACAAGATTCTCCTGTCTTTATCGCCCATTATTGGGATTATAGGTGTGCTTATTAATCTTGGGAAGTAATTCATCTTTAAAAGCCCAAGAGTGTCCAGCCTTCCAAAGGGAAAATTAAGCTCCCCACCCCCAGGATTAATGTGTTACACTTTCAGAATATTTCACCATAATTAGACTGTTAGAATTGAGGATCAGATCATTCTCCAAGCATCATTTGTTTCTTAACCTCCTCCCAGACAGTGCTGCTGGTGTGGTGTGGTACTGACGTGTGCACCTGTGGGAGAAGAGCCAAGGCAATCAGCTGACTTGGCAGAAAGGCTCTTGAAGGTCATTGGGTACAAAACTGCAGCTTGGGATGCTGATGCAGTCAGAATTCCATCTCAGAGGTCAGGCTGTCACCTTGATAGGACACATGGCACATACTTTCCTTTAGCCACCAGACTATTGTGGGTTCAGTGGGTGTTCCGTAACTACTCACAGGTGGATGGCAGGCCTCTCACAGGCATTAGCTGAACTAGAGTCCAGAAAGACACTGGAGTATATAGGCATTTTTAGAGGGTCATCTGAGTTTTAAGTTCCTGGGAGTCAGAGGCATGTTTCAGAATAACAATAATAATAATAATAGCAATAACAGCTATAATAATGGCTGACATCTGTTGAGTGCTTGTTTTTCTGAGCCACGAGTCTTTTAGAACCTTACCATGTGGATCCATTCAACCCTCATAACTACCTTAAAGATCACACTTGTCTCTATTTAAAGATGAAGGAACAGAGTTACTGACAGATCAAGAAATGGTCCTCCAGACACATCACTTAGTAATGGTGACCCAGGGCAGCCTGCTTCCAGAGACCTCTCATCCTCAGCCACAGATCACACGTGCATGAGCGCTAACGGAGCACATTCATAGGCATCCAGCACTCAGTAGTTCACAGGCCACAGTTACGTGAGTTTCATAGCGGAGTACAGAGCATATGCTGGAATAAAGTACTAAGATGTTGTTACGCACTTCTTCCTTTCTGTTTTTGAGACAGAAGCTCACTCTGTGGCCCAAACTGACCTTGAGCACCGAATCTTCTTGCCTCAGCCTCCCAAGTGCTGCGAGCAGAGGGTCAGGTGCCCCTATGCCCAGCAACGCATTATTTTTATAGGGGACAGATGAAAAACGAAACAGAATCAAGCACTGCAGTCTTTTGCTTTGATTTAGTGCTGGTTAACTTTTCACAGTCAAGTCCTGTCTGTTCTACTTGTTTGGACTGATCTGAAGTCGAGTGCACATCCTAGAGCTGCAGAAGAGATTAATTGTATGTGAATTACAGTGTTTATCAGCAAGTAGCCTGTGAGACTGTACTCTAAGTCTAGACTCTAAGTTCCTAGTTCTGCTTGTATTTCTTATTTACTTGGGTGTCCACCTTGCCTGAAATGTCTCTTGAATGAAATTAAGAGGCTTAGTTTATACTTCAAGCCTCCATTTACGTCCTGCCACGTGCCAGTTTGGACTTCTTAGTCCTGGCTTATGATTTCTACTCTTAAACCCTTATGCCGTGCTGGTCCTCAGCAGTACCAGCCTGTCCCTGTCAAACTTTCAAGACTCAGACACTTTGGGGTGCTGGTCCTCTCACCCCTCTAAAAGCTCCAGACATAAAGTCCCCAAGAGCCAGGGCCGCGCTTCTCTGCAGTCACTGCGCGGTGACACACCCACCTGTCTGCAGCAGCACGATACAGACTGTGTGCTGTAGGACACAGAGGACAGTTACCACGGCACAAGCCCGTGGAATCAGCAGTGTCTGCCTGCCCTCGAACAGTGCAGAGTCCAGCCATCATTTCTGGGTCTCAAATAAAGGCCAAATAGAATATGTTTAAGTTTGGAGGCCAATTAAAATTAGTCAAGATTTTCAAATGAGCAAACATTCCTCTGGAAGAGATAGAGAGTTTCTTTTATTAACGTGCTGCAAATAAACTGATTTTCATAGAAGTTAAATTCATAAAGAAGTGGCAGGTGCAAGCTCCTGAGCAGGTTTGATCGCCTTCTAAGCTCAGAGTCTCAGTGTTGAGTTAGCTAGCTTTATTCCCTACGTCATAGTCTCATACTTGGTTCATTAAATGCTTGACAATATCTTGAAAAGATATCCAAGAATTTGTGTCTTAGAGTTTGATTCCCTTTTAGAGATTGCATTTATTCCTGTGATAATGCTGTATGTGCTTCTTCCCTGCCAGAGAAATTGAGCACCTGTTTGGAAAGGTTCAAAACCAAACAAGTTGCAAATAAAGAAAGAATGAGGGGCTTGGAGAAGGCAGAGCTGGGCATGCCGGGCCTTGGGAGCAAGGAACTGGGGAGGGTGGGCTTAGAAATTCCCATGTGGGCATGAGCCTAGCCTCAGACATAGGCAGGCGCCCTTCAGCACAGGGTGGGAGTTTCAAAGTTACCCGGTAGTGGTAAGTGCTTGCCACACCTTCTCTAGTTTGAACATGTCTGACTCTGGACCTAAATGTCTTTTTCATTTGCATAGGAACATCCCAGGATCCTTCCTTTATTGCTGTGATTTTGCCGCTGAAGCGGTGGAGCTTGTAAAGGTAGGTCTTATATAGCCTTTAAAGAGAGGTGTGGGCTGACGGGGTGACTGTCAGGAGAGTGCTATCATGCAAGCAGGAAGACCTGAATTCAGATCCCAGCACCACCATTAAAAAGCCTGGGTATGGCAGCGTGAGCCTGTAATTCCAATACAGGGGGGCCAGAGACAGGAAGACCCGTGAGCTTCTGGCTAGCCAACCTAGACAATCCCTGAGCTCCAAGTTCAATGAGAGACATAAACATAAGATAAAGGGCAATTGAAAAAGATAGCAAACACTCAAACACACATACACACAAGCATGTATATACACATAAATTAAAAATAGAGAGCTGGGCGGTGGTGTAGTGGCACATACCTTTAATCCCAACATTTGGGAGGCAGAGGCAGATGAATTTCTGTGAGTTCAAGGCTAGCCTGGTCTACAGAGTGAGTTCCAGGACAGCCAAAGCTATATAGTGAGATCCTGTCTCAGAAAATAAAGCAAACCCAAAAACTAACTAAATGAATAAATAGAGACTTTTAAAAGTTCTAACTCGAGAAGCCTGAAGAGCTTGGTTTAAGAGTTAAGAATGCTGATTGGTCTTCCAAAGGGCCTGGATTCAATCCACAGCACCCATATGGGGCTCACAACTATCTCGTACTCCAGTTCCAAGGGTCTAACACCTGCTTCTCAACTCTGTGAGCATCAGGCAGGCACATGGTGCCTAAATATACACACAGGCGAAATGCCCATACACATAGGATAAATAAATACATTTAAAATGTCTAATTTGGGGCCTAGAGAGATGGCTCAGTGATTAAGAACACTTGCTGCCCTTCTAGAGGGCCCAGGTTCAATCCCCAGCTCCCACATGGTGGAGCTCACTGCCATCTGTAATGAGATCTGATGTCCTCTTTTGGCCTCTGAATGCATCAGACACAGGCATGCATGCAGGCAAAACACTTATACACATAAAAATAAATTTAAATTTTTGTTAAAAGGTATGTTGACTTCTGAGGTGGTTGATTGTTCTGAAATGTTTCTGCATCAGGTGTGTCTGTGATGATGTTTAGCTGGGCTTTTGCGCTTTTTGAAAGTTATTTCAACTGATGTCAAAGTGTATTACCTATCTAGAATGCCTGTTTTTAACCTAAAAGAGTAGAAGTTGTTTTGACTTGGAGAGGTGCCCTAGCTGAACCGATGGCTCAGTGGGTAAGAGCACACACTGCTTCTGTGGAAGAGCTGAGTTTGGTTCCCAGGGCACATTCGATGTGACTCACAGCCATCTAGACCTAGCTCCTGGGAATCAACGCCTTCTCACCTCGTGCACAAACCCACACACATATGTACAGAATTACACATAAAAATCTTTTCAAATCCAGTCCATGTACATGTTCATGAATAAGTTCAAAGGATACTGGTAATATTAGTCAAGATTTTAACAACCACCTACCCCATGTTTTAGTTAAACCTCCAAGAAGAAGCCATCACTGTTGCGTGTCTCTAACACCTTACACATATAGTCTGGCACATAGTAGGCGCTTGTTAGATTGAAATTCTTGAACTAAGAAAATCTAAGAAGCTGTGAGGAAAGCATTGGGAACCCGGGCTTCCTGAACAAATCTATGAATGATTCTTCCTTAGGATGAGGAGCCAGCGGCAGCAAGTGAAAGAAATTCTGTCACATAGAATGCAGGGAGATAGCTCTGTCAGAAGAATAACTCGCCTTGCGAGCCAAGGACCTTAGTTCAGTTCCTCAGCCTGGACGCAAAAGGCTGGGTGTGGTGACGCATGCTTGTGATCCCAGCCCTGGGCCGTCAGAGGCAGATGGAGCCCTGAATTTATGGCCAACCAGCCTAGTCTGTTAGACAATTACAGGTCAGGGAAGACCCTGTCTCCAAACTCAGGTGAACTGAACTTGAGGGAAGACAGCTGAGGTTGTTCAGTGGCCTCCATACACACGTGTCTACCTTCATTCACATGTATCACTGTACACATAAACATGTAACTACAAACAAACCACAAAAAAGTGTGCTAAACATTTAAGTAAAACTTTCAAAAGTTAACACTGACTGGACCAGGTGATAGAACGCACTTTTAATCCCAGTACTTAAGAGGCCGAGGTAGATCTCTGAGTTTGAGGCCAGCCTGGTCTACATAGTGAGTTTAGGGCAGCCAGGGCTACTCAGAGAAACCCTGACTCAAAAAAGAAAAAAATTAACTAATGCTGAAAGTTATTTTGGACAATAATAGTATTTATTACAGACATTTCTCCAAACAAAAATGCACAGAGGAGAAGGCAGATATACCAGTAATCACATTTCCCAGGATGACACGGGGTTTGATGTCTCTCCTTCTGCTGCTGGTTCCATAGACAAATCCTGTGGAGTGAGTTTCACCCTAATGCTGCCTACAGATAGCCTTACTGAACTGCCTCACACAGCATCCATTTCAGTGTGCAGGAGAGTAGATTTTAGTAGTAGAGTTGTGTGGCTGTAGCACGGGCTCTAACTGCTATTAATAATAAAAACCCAGAGTCAGATATTCGGGGTGAAAGCTGAGAGATCAGAGAAGCAGAGCAGCCAGCCACTGTCCAGACCTTTTACCTCTGCCGACTCCTCAGACTGAAGGGAAGATCCTGTCTCTACCAATCCTCAGGCTGTATGGTCAGACTGCATCCTCAGACTGCAATGAGCCCCTGTCTCCTCCCGCCTTATATTCCTCTCTCCTCCCATCCATATCACTCCTGTCTCCACCTCCCTAGTGCTGGGATTAAAGGCGCGGGATCTCAAGTGCTAGGGATCAAATCTCCTGTAGCCCTGGGTGGTCTTGAACTCACAGAGATCCACCTGCCTCTGCCTCCTGAGTGCTGGGATTAAACACCATCTGGCTTTGTTTTTGTTTTTTTAAGGCAACTTGAAATAAGTTATGAAGTACTGAACTAGGAACGAAGTTTATTCATGTTCACATAGGAAAGATGCCTGGGAGAAAAAATTTAATTGTTTATTACATTTATTTATTTTGTGGGGAGAGAACATACTTGTCAGGTGTGGCGCGCCCCTTGACCAGCAAGGAAGAACGACCACGAAGTCGAGGATTCTTCTCAAATCACACTTTATTGGAGCCTCTTGGTTGAAGGGAGAACTGGAAGCGAGAGAGAGCGAAGGCCAAGCGGCATCTGCTTATATAGGTTGAAGGGACTCGGGTACTGTCCTGATTGGTGAATACCAGTGTGCTGATGCCCGAAGCCTCGGGATTGGCCAGGGACAAAGGCTCAATTGTGCATGTACAAGCAAAGGGCGCTCAGCCCCATGCAGCAATACCAAAGAAGGATTTGTTTACCTCCAAGCTGCAGGACCGCCAGCGCCTTCTTGTAATGGCGATATCCGGATGGCTCCTTACAGTCAGGGGGCTCATGTGAAGATGAGGGAGCAGTTTGGGGGGGTCAGTTCTCTTTTCTACCATGTGAGTCTGTGAACAAGCACCTCTACCAACCAGGCCATCTCACTGGTCCAAGAAAGGATTAAAAAAAAAAAAAAAACCTTTATTTTCAAAAAGATAGAAAAGATAAGGAAAAAACAAAAGAAAACACTCTGGAGGTCTGCTAACTCCTGCCTTTTGCTCCTCCGCCATGACAGTCGCATGCGTCCTACAGTGAGGCCCACTGTTGTGCCTTTCTCCATGACGTGTGCGATGACGGCTTGGCCTACCCTTTTCCGGACGGGACCCTGGATGTCATTCTCCTCGTCTTTGTGCTCTCTTCTATTCACCCTGACAGGTAAGGGAGACGGAAGGGCAAAGCTGGTGTGGAGAGCAAACATGACAATCCCCGAATTTATTATCTAGTGAACTCCGTTATGTTTAACATGCAGCCTTTTAAATGCAGCTTCTCCTGCCTTTACACTTTTAAGAAGGGAACTGGTCAAATCCTTCATTAGCGAGCGTTCTGTCGCTGTCGGGATGAAGTGAGCGTGTTCTGGCGAGACACATACCTATTAAAAGTGACAGCAGCTCAAGGAAATTACAGGTGCGGAGCAGCCTGATGGACTCCCAGGAGGGAGACTGTACGGGAGATCAGAAACAAACATCTTTGCCGTAGCATCTTCTCAAGTGTTTGGGGAGAGGTGGGCTGCAGTCTGTGTGGTTCCACACAGGTCCATTGAGGGGTTTTCTGACTTGCAGTGTAAGAAGTCTGCTGAGGAATCACGGCTCTGGTGATCTGACAGAGTGTGCTGCTTGGACCTGTAGGGTCTAAGGTGGAGCAAGAGCCATGATTCATGTGTATGGGCATGTGTTTGTGTGTGTGTGTCTGTTACCTTGTGATCTTGTGCATGTCGACATGTGCTCTTCTACTGAGTGTCCCCGATCCCCTGAGTATGACTTAGGTTCTTATGTATATATGACTTAGCTTTTCGTTTTTGGCTTAGCCTGTGCTGACCTTGAACTCTACCCAGCTCAGGCTGACCTCAAACTCCTAGTGACCCTCCTGCCTCAACTTCCCCATTGCTGAGATTTACAGGCCTGTACCGCCATGCCCACCCACAGGACTTGTACTTTTATGAGATTTCACAGCCCCCGAAAAGAGGGCACAGATCTGCATCAGATTCCTTTTGCATGATAGTGTAATCCCTTCCCGCAGAAACGTGAGTCCTACCTGCTAAGCTGCTAGGCCCCTTGCTGGCTTTTCAGTTCCCATTTGTAGATGAGCATTTTATTACTTAGTGAGGGAAAATTTGATTCCCAAATCAATCAGAAAGGAAGTTATATTTATAGCTGATGCATAGATTAGGCTCCACTAAACCACGTTCCCCTCGAGTTCCACGGTGTCTTTCCTGAAATGTGCTCATCTGTTGGCCCGAGTGCCTGCGCTAGGGTTGCTTCTGTGTAGGAGTCATTAGAAGGATGGTGTAGGTGATAAAGAGCCAGATTTCTTATGGGTACTTAAAACAGGAAATGCCTAGATTCTAAATAAGACTGTAGAAAGACTATTTGAGATTTGTTCTGATAATGTATTTTTATCATGGTTTGAATTGAATATTAATAAGAAGGAGAAATAGATATCTTAGGATGATTACCTTTATAATAGAGCATTCACTCTGTTTATTATAAAATAAATTCAAATGTATCATGTCAGCACAACTTTTTTTGTCTATATGAAAATGATCTAAAAATAAGGTAGAGTGATCTAGGTGTAGTGGTGTACGCCTGTGGGCCCAGCTACTCGGGTGATTAAGGCGCAAGGCACTGAAGCCCCGGGTGTTTGAGACCAACTTGGACAACACAAAGAAACAGCACCTTCAAGCATTTTAACTAAGTAATAGTAAGGTGAGCCAATAGAAGAGAGGCAATAAAAATAAAGAGATAGTTCAGCAATGTCGTTAGGGTCACTGAGGACTGTAATTGTGAATGTGCATCCAAGAGCATTCTAGAAGAGCAACTCATTGGCAGCAGAAACAAAGAAATGGCAGTAATTCAGCTAGATCCTGAGTCCGAGGATGGCAGCTTAGATGGAAGTAACTCATAAGAGACTACAGAAGAGAGCTGTCTTTCTGTCACTGAAATAAGAGAAAACCTAAGAGACTTCCTGTACATAAAAGCAGAGCGGGGAGTCCGCACACTGGGGAGTTTTTGTTGTTTGTCTGTTTTTATCTCTTTTCCTCTCTTTTCTCTGTCCAGGGCCAGGTAAGAATAGCAATCAACTGAAGTACACAAAATAAAGAAAGGATTGGGCATCCCAGCACATGGAGAGGCAGGTGGAGCTCTGTGAGTTCTAGGCCAGTCCAGGATAGTGAGACCTTGTCTCAAAAAAAAAAAAAAAAAAAAGGAAGGAAGTGGGGCCGTGATGATTAATATCAATTGTAAACTTGACAGAATCTAGTCGCCCAGGAGGGGGTGTTAGCTGTCCCAGCTTTCATGAGGTGGAGGTAAAAAGATCACGAGTTTAAGTGAGTTTGAGGTCATCCTGGAGTATGTGAGACTTTGCCTCAAAGGAAGAAAACTAAGAAGAAAAGAGCTAATGACCATTTATGCTCCAGAATGCAGTATTTTGCAACTCTGCTTCAAAAAGAACCAAAAACCCAAGAGCCAAATGTAGCTCTGTCGGGAAAATGCCTAGCATGCAGGAGACCCTGGTTTGATCTGCAGCACCATATAAATCGTATGTGGTTACATGGAGTGGCCCGTCTTACCGTGGGAGGGGCCATGCCCTGGCCAGTGGATTCCGGACTATGTAAGACCGAGAGAGCAAGCTGATCACTGGCGTGCTTCATGGTTCTCTGCTTTCTGACTGGACTGGGTGTGACCAAGCGTGTCAAGCTCCTGACTCCTTGATTTCCTCATGGTAGTCTGTAACCTGAACTGTGAACCAGAATAAACCCTCTCCCTCTGAAGTTGCTCCTGTCAAAGTGTGTTATCACAGCACCAGGGGAAGCAGCCAAGACAGGCTTTGTCCCGTTCCTCTTCTCTGCTGCACCCACAGTGTGGTCCCACCGTGGTCCCCAGGAGCCTGAGAGGGCATGCAGTGTCAGGAGAGCAGCCCCCACTCCTGCCCTCTGCACAGACACCCATGTTAGGTGAGGCTTTACACGGTGGCTGCAGAGTCAGGCACATCATTTGTTTTCCCTACATTTTTATGTCATTCTTTTTTTACTAATAATTCTAGATATTTTCCTCTGTACATAATACATTTACCTTGAAATTATATTTTTTTAAGATTTAGATTTTTTATTATTGTCAGAGAGAGCAAGGATGTGAGCACAGCATGAGAATGACCTGAGATGAAAGAGAAAATCATTTTCCCTTCATGTATTTATGCTTGGTATTTATACCACAGAGCTTGGTAGCGTGGACATTAGTACCACGAATACCTCAGCATATATTCCAGTTTTTAAAAAGAGCTTTTCACCTAAACATGCGATCTCTTTCTGCCACATTTCTCCCTGTTCAGACTTAATTTTATAACAGCTTTTATTTTCTGCCTTTCTGCTTTTTCTTTCTTTCCATTTTTTTAAATCTTATTTTGTTTTGGTTTACATTTTGTTTTTCAAGATAGGGTTTCTCTGTATAGCCCTGGCTGTCCTGGAACATGCTCTGACCTGGCTGGCCTTGAACTCACAGAGACCCACCTGCCACTGGCTCCTAAATGCTGGGATTAAAGGCGTGTGCCACCACCCCCTGGCTGCTTTCTTTATAATATGGTAGAAGCTGGATTTCACCCACTATTCCACTAAATGTAGTTTTATAAGATTTTTAAATTACGTATATGTGCCTGTGTGTGTGTGTGTGTGTGTCTGTCTGTCTGTCTGTCTGTGTGTGGTCTTGTGTGCTCCACAGCATGTATGTATTGTCAGTTCTCCCCTTTTATACTTACATGGGTCCGAGGGATCCAACTCAAGTTGCCAGCATTTGTGGCAAATGCTTTTACCAGCTGAACTGTCATGGCAGCCATGAATGTTGTTTAAATGAAAGGAATTTATAAATTATCGGAACTAGCCTCATCTTTTCAAAATAAAAAAAAGCCTCAGCAACTTTAATTGGCTTAGCTAAAGCAAAGGCACTTCTTGGTGTGGTGGCCTACATTTGCAACACTAGTGTTCAGGAGGCTGAGGCAGAAGGACCAATGCAAGTTCGAGGCCAGCCTGGGCTACATAATGAGTCCCAGACCACTTTGGGCCACAGTGTAAGACCCTGTCTTAAAAGCTAAAATCAAATAAACAAACAGAAAAGGGATAACAAAGGCTTGCGCTGTAGGCCGCCATTTCCCTTCCCCACCTCAGCAAGCAGTGACTAAAAGTTCTGTACCCCGACTGTCGTTCCCTATGGGCTCCATGAGGCCTCTCCAGTGGAGCTCTGTGGGTAGCTAATGCCTGCCACTCAGCATCAGCAGAATAAAACATAGACCACAAACACAGAACCCAAAAGCTACATCAAGGTGTAGTTTGAGTCATATTTGATCGCACGCTGCAGAAGCAGGACGAGGAATTACCAAGAATTAAAGCAGAGCCTCCCGGTACTGAGCTGGGAATTGGGATGTGAGTACAGTCGTAATAGGCCAAGAAGGACTGAGGACCCCAGTTCCGATTCCCAGAACCCAGCTGAAAACCCCAGACAGCCACGGATGTGCCTATAATCCTGGCATTGAGGAGGCAGAGACCCGAGAGCAAGGTGGCTGTGAGGTGAGAGACCCTGCAGGATGTCAGCTGTGGGCTTGTACACATATGTGGACATGTGTGTGCGTGTTCGTGTATTTACATACCATATATGCACACACGGAAAAGAGGGAGGGAGGGAGGGAAGGAAGGCCATCCAGGAGATGAATTAACATGGAGGAAAGCTGTGTAAGTTTGGGGTGGCTCTGGCATATTGCTTTATTTTGCAGAAAATGAACCTGTGTCTCCTACTGTATTTAATAGCAGAAACCTAAGTGGACGGGTGGGTGAGTTGTCTGTTCAGTTTGTTTGAGACAGGGTCTCACAATGTGACTGAGGCCTTGGCTGGTCTGGAAGCCATGGTCCTCCTGCTGTAGCCCCAGAGTCTGGGGTCACAGGTTTGTGGTTTGCCGTTCACAGGATGTCAAGCTCTTAAGCTCCCAGCTGAGTTCAGCGATGTGGGAGGTCCTTCTGTATATGTGTTGCTTTTATTGGTTAGTGAATAAAGCTGCTTTGGCCTGTGCAGAACAGAATATAGCCAGTCTGGAAGAGATACATAGAGAGAGTAGGCAGAGTCAGAGAGACGCCATGTAGCTGCTAAAGAAGCAAGAGGAAACAAACCTGAGCCTCATGGTAAAATACAAATAATAAAAATAGGTTAATTTAAGATATAAGGGCTAGCTAGAAATACACTTGAGCCATTGACCAAACAGTGTTATAATTAATATAGTTTCTGTATGATTATTCAGGTGTGGGAGGCTGGAAACGAACGAGCAGTCTCCGCTTACAATTTAGCTCTTGAAACACTAGACTTCTGAATTCAGTTCCTTTGAATACTTTTTTTTTTCCGGGTTTGTTTTTGTTTTGTTTTGTTTTTTGGGTTTTTGTTTGTTTATTTTTGTGGTTTGTTTTCTTTTGTTTTTCTGTTACATGTATGATTTCTTTGGCCTACTGAGATCTTCTTATTCTGTTTCCAGAAAGGTTGACCCTAGCGTATAAAAACATTTCCATAGAGGTTGTCTTACTTTGTTTTCCAAGGATGCAAGCTGTTGTTGACCGACTGTCCAAGCTGCTGAAGCCTGGGGGAATGCTATTATTTCGGGATCTTGGAAGATATGATAATGCTCAGCTTCGTTTTAAAAAAGGTAATAGGAGCTGGTGGGGTGGCTCAGTGGTTCAGTGCTCTTGAGGAAGATGGGAGTTTGGTTACCAGCACCCACACCAGGCAGCTCACCTATAACTGCAGCTCCAGGGGATCCAGCCCCCTCTTCTGATGCTCTTACGCAACCACACACATGTGCGTATACCTATACACAGGCACATACTTACATAAATAAAAATAAACTCTTAAAAGGTAATAGTATACTCAGTTCTAAGTTATTTTAATATGTTTTGAGAATATAAAAATATTCATGTTAAATTATTTTGGTTCATCTTGTTTTTTAAGGAACTATCAAATTTTTCTTTCTTTTTTTTTAGGGCGTTGTTTATCTGAAAATTTTTATGTCCGAGGAGATGGCACCAGAGCCTATTTCTTTACAAAAGGTATGCGGTATGCTGCTCTATCACCCGTAAATGAAGAGCTGTGGAACTCTCCTCAGATAATCGCTTGCAGGGAGATCCTCAGATGCTGTGAACACGAGGCCTCAGCGGCGGCACCGGCCGTCTTCATGCCCTGGTGCTCACAATGGTTCCACAGAAAAGCGTGCAGATAGCTTCTGCCTCCTAATCTTCTTCCAGCTTAAATCCCTTCTAAAGGGCCGCTTACTTCACTCTTATGCTAGAGTGCAGGTGCAGGGTGCAGTTTGGGGATATTGTTAGCCTGGATATGGAAAGAATTGATACTCTGCCCCAGCCATGGGAGAGAATTGGACTTTTCTAAGTCTAAAGAAAATTAGTTCTCACTAGTCAATTTCTTGACTTAAACAAGTACTTCTGACAGCACCAAGTGGATCCTGCATCCAAGGGTTTCCCCAAACTTAAAGAACCTTGCATAATATGTAATTTTGGGTTGGAAAACAAAAGGCTCATGAAGGAGACACGTTTCAAAATATTGAAAGCTCTAGCCATAGCTCAACTCACGATAATCTCCTGATCCTGCTGGCCCTGTAAACCTGTTCATACTTGCAATATATGGGGGACATCAGAGAGCCCCACTTGGTTTTGTGGGTTTCCTTCACCCAGCTGTATAGTGCTTCTTGGTATAAACACAACTCGGATGAACAATCTCCATGGTGTCTTACTGGTCCTTGCCTCCCCTCTCCCCTGTCCCGTGTCAGATCTTTGACAGCTCCTTTTGTCTCCAAGGGGAAATCCACCGCATGTTCTGCGAGGCTGGATTACATGAAAAGCAAAATCTGGTTGATCATCGCTTGCAAGTTAACAGGAAAAAGCAGGTGACGATGCACCGAGTGTGGGTCCAAGGAAAGTTCCAGAAGCCATTGCCCTGGACTCAGAAGAGCCGAAGTTAGCATGTTCACCCTTTCTTGTGACTGAACTGAGTGTCATGGTAAGGTATGAAACCAGGACAAGATGCTGGCTTCTTTGCAGAGCCAATGAGAAGAGCGTCGGTGGCCTGCTGCTGCTGTCGGAGCTCTGAGGACATTCTGAGTGCCCAGAAGGGACCTGAAGGATGTCCTGTCCTTGTTTCAGAACTTGAAATGCATGTTTGTTTCATCTAGCCACGCTCCCTTGAATTTTATGACTTTGACTTAAATTACTGATATAAGGCATATAGTTTTGGGAAATGTAACCTGTCCATTTTTTTAGAAGTGGAAGAAATTGTCTTCTTTATTATCGGGTGTGGTAAAGCATTCCCAAACAGTCGAACCCCTCTACTGTCAGTCAGCAGCAGGGGAGCAGTGCGCCTTTTTAGGGAACTTGCAAGCCCAGGATGAAGGTTTATTGTTTTTTGTTTTGTTTGAATATATTTTCTCCAACCCCCCTTTTTTAACCCTCTCCCCATACTAGTGTCTAAGATACAATTTTGGTTTCTCTTCCTTTCCAAAGATGGGGAAGCATGGCCTTTGTCAAGTCACTTTCGGGCTCTTCTTAGATGTGCAGATCGCTGAGACACATGTCAGTTTTCATGCCAGCTCTGCACAGTCTAGCCTTGCCTGGGAAGAGTCTCCAGACTGTCAGTTGTCTGGGAGTTTGTCTTGATTACGTCACCTGATGTGAGCAGAGCTGCCTATGGCAGGCGGTACCATTCCCTGGGCTGGGACCCTGGACCGAGTAAGAGTGGAAGCAATGAACTGAGCCCTGGCACACCTGGGCTCGTTCGCTCTGCTCTTCACTGTGGATGTGACCAGCAGCTTCCCGTTCCTGACTGCCCTGTTGTAACCAGCTGGACTCTGATCTGAATTTGTGAGCTAAAATAAACCCATTCTTCCCTAAGCTGCTTTTGTTGGAGTATTTTATTTAATTTTTTTTATAGGTGTGGGTTTTACCTGAATGTCTGTCTGTGCACATGTGCACGCCCAGTGCCTGCAGAGGCCGTCAGTATCTCTGCCTGCAGAGGGTGTGTGTTGTGGAATAATCTTTTTGTACACTGTGAAAATGTGTCATTCTGATTGGTTTAATACAAAACTGAGTGGTCAATAGCTAGGCAGGATTTTCAGACACACAGGATGCTGGGAAGAAGAAGGAGGGAGTCACCAGACAGACAAAGAGGAAGCAGGGTGGGCAGCACAGAGTAAAAGTAACCAAGCCACATAAAAGAACATAAATTTGAAGATATGGGTTGATTTAAGTTATAAGAACTAGTTAGGAACAAACCTAAGCTAAGGCCACACTTTCATAATTCACAATAAGTCTCTGTGTTGTGAGCTCATTGTCAGAATTGAGAAAAACTCACTGCAGGCTTTGGATCCTGCACCTGGAGGTGTAGGTGGCTGTGAGCCTGTTGTACACAGACTTCCCTGGGAAGAGGCAGTACACACTCGTCTCCTCACCCCAGGTGGGGAACCTATGACAGAATACAGTATGGAGACCACCAGAGTCCACTTTAGTGAACTAATGAGTGTTATTGGGGTCACTTATAGAAATATGGGTGAGAGGTTGCTTACCTGACTCAAGGACAGCTGCTCACCAAAACCTACCGAGCATGGGTGGCAGCTCACAGAAGCTGGACCTGAAGCACCCTGCAGGCTGCTCGGCAGATGGAGAGTGTCCTTTCCAGGTGCCTCAGTTGATCGGAACCTCTGCCGGGCAGCTCCGCTGGTCTCTGCTTCTTTGAACCTTGGCCCGTCTTTACTGTTTACTCTGGGAGGGAAGGGCCTAGCAAATCCAGTCAGCTTTAGCTGAAGCTATTTTGAGTTGTCTACTTTTTGTCTTAACTCCTAGATAGAAAATGATTCAATCTAGAAGGAAACTACTACCTGCCAGAGCTGTTACGTGAGCACTGGGAACCTTCTGGAAGAGCAGCCAGTGATCTTAAACCCTAAGCCATCTCTCTAGGCCCACTGCCAGGGTATTTTATCACAGAATCTAACATATACATTCAAGAAAATCTTCCTAACAATTAGAAATGTATTTGTTCCCTTGCTTCAGAAAGAAAATATGCTGGCTTGCTAATTCCCCTTGTAAAAATAGAGTTCCTAGAACAAGTCTTTCATTATGCAGTGCTTGCTGAATATATACACGACGTATTATCAAACTTTGGGGTCACAACTTGTGCCCCAAGTCAGAACTGGTTACCCATCTTCAATAAGTTAATTAAAAGAGCAGGTAAAGCAGAAAAAGGAGACTTATTCAGTGTGGACACATTGGGAAGAAGGACAGAGAAATCCAGGAGACCTCCCCAAGTCTACTCTTTGGGGTTCTGAAGTGAGATCACAGTTTAAATCGAGAGCCGAGGGCATGCTGTCAAAGCAGCGGTGTGCAGGCTGGTCTCCTCCACGCTCAGGGCTGGTCTCCACGCTCAGGGCTGGCCTCCACGCTCAGGGCTGGCCTCCACGCTCAGGGTTGGCCTCCACGCTCAGGGCTGGCCTCCACGCTCAGGGCTGGCCTCCACGCTCAGAGCTGGCCTCCACAAACTCTGGTCCAAGCAACGAGCAGGTGAGCTTGCCTGGAGGAAAGGCACAGTTCTGAAACAAGTGGTCTGGAAAAATCCAGGTCCAAAGGTTTTTCTTTACTTACTTGTTTGCTTATGTGAAACACTGTCACTCGTAGCCCAGGCTAGCCTCAACACAGGGCATGATCCCGCTGCCCTGTTCTCCAGGGTTCTCGGATTTCCAGATGTGAAACTTTTCAAATCACTTAGAAGTTGGTTTCCCAGAAGAATGTAATGAGTCCGTTGGGGATTGTGGGTTTGTCACCCGATAGACATGAGGATTTTCCAAAGATGCGCTTGTGTCTCTCAGTCTGTCAGGCTGTTGAAACAGTGACCCTCAAAGAAGTGGCACTTGCCCCAGGAATCTGATGCTGGAGGAAGGAAAGGGCACCAAACGGAGGTCAGGGGGCACGGCAATTTGTCTACCAGGAAGAGATCAGATTCCACAGTTCTAACACCTCAGCTCACCACCACCCTACAGCACAAGACTAAAGTCCTCACAAGGGTGTGTCAGCACCTGGCAGGCCCACACCTTGATGAGACTGCTTAGACATGCCTGTCCTTGGCCCTCTATATAAACTTCAGTCTCATTCTGGAAGATTTAGACCAACTTGGGGGATTCTTAGTGTCTCTGTCCCTCTTCCAATATGGCCACATTGAGTAAATCTTTTTCTGGTTTCTACCTTAATTTGGCTTTTTTTTTTTTTTTTGAGACAGGGTCATACTCTATAGCACTGGCTGACCTAGAACTTGCTCTGTAAACCAGGCTTTCCTCAAACTCACAGAGATATACCTACCTCTGCCTCCCTAGAGATGAGATTAAAGGCATGCGCCACCACACCCAGCAGCAAGTTTGGTTCTCTTAATTGACTTATTGAGGACAGATGGCCAAACCTGATTTGGGGCACAAATTGTAATCCCAAGTTTGATAACAGGTTGACCCCTTAGTACACTGTGGCAGAATAGCTTAATTGATGGTATCCCCAGAACACATGGGGTCAGACAAAGTGTCTCAAGTAACCAGCTTCAAACAAAGCATTCAGAAATCATCGCAATACACAGTGTAGGTGGCAACAGTCACCCTTCTAAGGAGAAAGAAGCTGTGGGGAAAAGAGGGGAGAAATCAAGCTTCTGGGAGGAAGTGGGCCTTGGACTCAACCTTGACTCTGTTCTCCAAGTGTTCAAATCCAATCAGTCTGTATAGGACATTGGTGAGGGATGGTGCGGAGCTGGGGCAGGTTAGCTTGTGAACAGACTAGAGGATGTGACCTGTAATCTCGGGACTGGAGCCATCCAAGTTGGTTGGTTCCCTTCTGTTTCGTTCCTGCCATGATGGTTTACAAACATGTTTAGAGAGATTTGTTGAAGACTTGCCTATGGCATCTAAAGTGGAGTGAGGTCAGTGATCAGTGGGGAGGAAAACCACAATCTGATTCGGGAATGAAGTCGTCTTTGGTGGTAGGTCCTCAGAAGGGCAGTCGTCAAGGTTTCTGTTTAAATATGCACACATCAATAAATGGAGGAGTCAGAATTCACCCAAGACTCTTAACTCACTTGTATTTCATAATTAAAGTCTACATGTAAAAGCCAAAACCGTCATGAAAGTATTATCTTCAACAGGGCAGTTAAGATAAGTCAATGTTGCTATGGGAACCCCCAACAGATCTTCTCATGTCTCCATTTAAAAACCATGGCCCAAGGTGGTTTTTAAAAACAACAGAAGGTAAAATTATTCGCACATTCTCACACATGTAAATTGTACTGTCTCTCTCGGTTCTAAATAGCAGATTCAAGCCAGCCTCTTGACTGGCTCAGTAAAATCCAACTTCGTATCTCTCTATAATATATTACAGCATGTGAGTTAACCTTTAAAAGCTTCAAAAATACATCAACCAAATTTGGACTCTGAGACACAAACTGGGCTTTTTTGGGCTCCCTCCAGCATAGATCTCCTAATCTCTGAACATCCTCACAGCAGCCCCACCCCCACCCGTCTTCTGCTTGCCTGATGGGTCCTTTTCCCACTTAGCCTACCTGCAGCAGCCTCCTTTTTCAGGTTTGCTGCCAGACAGAAATGTAGATTTAAGCAGAGAAAGCAAAGGGAAGGGCCTGTTTGGAGTTTTGCCTGTAGATACCGAGAAATCATGAGGTGTCACAAGTGTATCTGTTTGGGTATTAGCTTAAAATAGCTGATAACTGTGTAGGATCCTAATTCCCCTACATCCATAAAGTTAGGACCACGGTTAGCGGAGGCCGAGATTTAAAAGTCCATTTCGAAGGGAGCTGCGTTTCAGAGAGTCCATTTTCCCCCTAGCAGAAAAAAAGTATGTTCCTTCGCCTTCTTGCACGAAGGAAACAATGAAACGGATTAAAAGTGCACGCTCTATTTTCTCCGGTTCCGAAAGTCACTTTGGAGCACTGTCCACCTGGGAACATCGTCCCGCGAGGATCTGTTTGGGAAGGTGGTGGGAAGTTGAGGTAGGGGTTTCTGTTGTTACAGGTTTCCCATTCTCCACTCAGTCGTCCCTGACCTCTGCTAACTACTTGCTTGGGTTCCAGCCCATGAGCATATCTTGATTCCTGCCATTAAGTACTGGTAAATCATGGCTTCACTCCAGTTGGTGCGTGAAAATTCACCCATATGCAAATGACTGCCTTCCTGGGGACAAAACCCACAGTCATCTGATCCCGACGGTTTCTCTCCCGGAGCTGCTTTACTCTGCGGCTCCGGTTTTCTCGCCCAGGAAGATCTAAAGCGGGACTAGATCAGCCTTGTTAGCTAATTGGTCTTGAGGTTTCTCATGCTCCTCACAAGGGCAGAAGACTTCACATTTGCATCGCTAATAAACCTCTTTCAAAGCCTCTCCTCCTCCTCCTCCTCCTCCCGCCTCCAGCTAGTCACCAGGAGACTACACGTTGGCAGGGGGTACTTTCCCCAGCTTGTGGAAGCAGGCTGTAGGTTCGTGAGCACCGACTGCGCGAGGTATTGTTATGAATAACATCGTTTACAGTCTACCAGACAGCGCGCGCAGCACTCCACAGATACTTTTTCAGTGGTTTTTGAGACGTTGCGAGAGAAAGACAGTACGGTGCCGTGGAAAAAGTATTGCCCGGGGTCTCTCAGGGAAGCATAGGTTCAGGTCCTAGTAAACCACTTCGCTACTCTTCATTCAGCCCTGAGTGCTGATTGTGTATACAGTAGGTACTTATTTGGTTCCCACGAGCCTACAAATTAGCTGTTATCGGGACCATTTAGCAGATGAGACCGGGGCTCGGAAATGCTAGATGACTTGCCCAGGATACTAGAACTGGAATTGCCTGACACCAAAAACCTCGTTCGTGG